ACTCTGTTCAACACCAGCACATCTTTCCTTAGATATGGGGCCCAAAACTGCTCACAGTATTCCAAATATGGTCTGAACAGAGCCTTTTACAGTTTCAGCAGTTCATCTCTGCTCTTGTATTCTAGCCCTCCTGAAATGAATGCTAACATTGCATTTGACTTCCTAACTCTCCTTTGTCTAACTTGGTTGTTACCTTCTCAAAGACTTCTAACAGATTTGTCAGGCATGACCTCCACTTGACGAAGCAGTGCTGACTCAGCCCTATTTTACCGTGCACTTCACAGTAAAGAACTTTGTAATCTTATCCTTAATAATGGACTCTAAAATCTTACCAATGACTGAGGTAAGGCTAAATGGCCTATAGTTTCCTGTCTCCTACCACCCTCCCTTATTAAACAGGGGTGTTACATTCTCCATTTTCCAGTCCTCTGGACCCTTCCTGACTCCAGACATTCTTTTAAGATCACCACCAATACCACTACAATCTCCTCAGCTAACTGCTTCAGAGCTCTGGAGTATTGTCTATCAGGTGTTTGTGATTTATCCATGTTCAGACCTTTCAGATTCCCCAGCACCTTCTCGTTAGTGATGGCCATTGCACAAACCTTTGTCCTCTGACTGTTTTGAAGTTCTGCTATATTAGTGGTGTCGTCCACTGTGAAAACTGATGCAAATACCCATTAAGTTCCTCTGCCATCTCATTGTTCCCCACTACTATTTCTCCAGCCTCATTTTCCTGCAGTTCAATGTCCACTCTTGCCTCTCTCTTATCTTTTAGATATCTAAATAAACTCTTGTAATTTTCTTTTATATTACTAGCTAGCTTACTCTCCTATTTCATCTTCTCCCCCTCTTATTGCTTTTTTAGTTATCCTCTGCTGGCTTCCCACTAATCTTCATCACATTGTATGCTTTCCCTTTTGCTTTTATCCTGACTCCCATCGTCATTCATGGTTGACTCGTCTTCGCCTAACTATGCTTTCTCTTCCTTGGGACGAATTTCTGCTGTACCTCCTGAATTACCCTCAGAAACTTTTTCATTGCTTTCCCTGCTCAGTTCCCCTTCCAACCAACTCTGGTCAGCTCCTCCCTCCTTCTGAAGAAGGGTCCTGACCTGAAACATCAACTTTCCTGCTCCTCTGATTTGCCTGGCCTGTTGTGTTCTTCCAGCTCCACACTGTTATCACTGAATCCAGAATTACTTCTTCCCTAGTGGGCAGTACCACTAACTGCTCCAAAACAAATCTCAGACATTCCACAAATTCCTTTCCTTGGGATCCAATAGCAATCTGATGTTCACAGTTCACTTGCACATTGAAGTCCCCCATGATGATTGTAATAATGCTTTTCTTACACGGCTTTTCTATCTCCTGATTTATTTTCCTCCCCACATCCTGACTACTGGAATGTGGCCTGTACACAAATCCTATCAGAGTCTTTTATCTTTTGCAGTTTCTCAACTCCACACAACATATTCTATGCCTTCTGACTCTGTATCACTCCTTGCTATTGATTTAATCTCATTTCTTACAAGCAAGGCAACTTTTCCCCCTCTGAGTGTCCTTTCAATAGGTCAAGTTTTCTTGGATATTTAGTTCCAAGCCCTGATCCCCTTGTAGCCATGTCCCTATATGGTACCTGCCAATTTCAATCTACGCTACAAACTCACTTGTCCATACCCTGTCCTCCTACCTCTGCAATCCCTCCAATGCCCTCCACCATATTGACAATTTCCAGTTCCCTGGTCCTAACTGCCTCCTGTTCACCGTGGATGTCCAATCTCTGTATACTTCCATTCCCCACCAGGATGGTTTGAGAGCTCTCAGCTTCTTCCTTGACCAGAGGCCTGAACAATCCCCATCCATCACCACTCACCTCTGCTTGGCTGAACTTATTTTCTCACTGAACAATTTCTCCTTTAATTCATCTCTCTCCTGCCAAGTCAAAGGAGTGGCTATGGGCTCCCACATGGATCCCAGTAATGCTTGCCTCTTTATGGGGCATGTGGAACAATCCTTGTTCCAGTCCTACACTGGCCCCCCTCCCACAAGTCTTTTCTCAGGACATCGACGACTGCTTCAATGCCTCTTCATACTCCTGCCTGGACCTTGAAAAATTTGTTCATTTGCCTCCAATTTCCACCTCTCTATAACTTTCACATCATCCATTTCTGACACTTTCCTTCCTTTCCTTGACCTCTGTGCC